TCTCAACCTTGTCAACTTGAAGTCGTGTGGACTTCAAGTTGACAAGGTTGAGAAACACTGCGCTGGGGGTAGAGAACGGCAGAAAACATAGCTTTGAAAATCACCAGTGGCATTGCGTTCCTAAAGCCGCAATCTTCGATGTTTCCCTCTCTTGGCAGGTGCCACCATCCCTGGAGGACAGCCAGCTTTTGCAGTTCTACACGGGGCAGTGCCAGACGCATTACTGCACCCTCCTCTCTGCCATCGAGGCCCTCCTGGCCAGCGCCGGGGCTCACCAGCCACCCCGCGTCTTCGTGCCCCACGGCAAATTCGTCATTGTCACGGCGCACAAACTGGTCTTCGTGGGCGACACGGTCTCCCGCCTGGCGTCTTCGGCGGCAGTCCGGGCGAGGGTGGGGGCAGCCAGTGGCGCCCTGTGCCAAGCCCTGAAGGAAGCCGTCCTCTCCGTCAAGAGCGCTGCCCTGCGGTACCCATCGCTTCCTGCGGCCCGGGAGATGGAGGGCTGCGTGGCCGAATTATCCCGCCAAGCCCTGGCCTTCACCACCTTGCTGGGCACCCTGGCACCCTCTTGATCCAGGACTCGGGGACCGCTGCGACTCCGCCCCAAGTTGGAAGATGAATCTCTTTCTGCAGAGGGTGCCCGAGGACGCCGGTGTGGCGCATCCTGGCCAGTGCTCGTCCTGGGGTTGGTGCAGACGTTCTGCTTGAGTTTGGCTCGTACATTGGCCAAGACCAGACCTGCTCCGGGGTCCTCAGCGGCCGATGCCCGTGCCAAGAAGCAACCGTCCTCGAGCTTTGGTTTCTGCTTCGGCTCCTTCCGTACTTCCACATGAGCACCCAATCTTTGCCTCCTTCGTTGTAGCCTACAATCTTTGACTTTTCTGGCCAAAGAACACCCCAAAATTTGCCCTCTCTCTCATCACAGCACCTCTCGATCTCGGGATCTGCTCCGTTGCAGGACCTTCAGCACAGACTCAATGGAAAGTTGATCCCGTAGTCCAGGGAGATGAACTGACTGGAGGAGGGGCAGGGGACCTTCACTGCTTCTGTATGCCCTCCATGGCAGAAATGAGAGGACCAGCTCTCCCCACCACCCCCAGAGCCTTAACAGGGAACAAGGAAGAAGAAAATTGCTGGGAAATGGGGTCCCTCCTCCCCAGGCCCCCCAATAATCTGCAGTAGAAGATGTCACGTCAAGGGCTGGCAGGACAGACGAGATGAAAAGCTCTTAGCAAAGAAATTAGAAGGTAGAACTCTTTGCTGTCAGCATGATGGTGGAATCGCTCTAAAGGGGTCTTTTCGAAATTTGCAGAACTAAAAATCCAGACCAGCCTCTCTGTAAGGGACACATAAGTTGGAACAAATTTCGGAAGCTCTTCAGCTCGATCTGCTCAACGCCTGTTTCTTCCCTTCTTGTGAAAGTCCTCATTTTGGAGAGTAGCCAGTCAAATGTTGCATTTAGCCGCCCCCTTCTCAGCCCTTCCTCCCCAGGGCACATAAAGCATCTTTCTCAGGAAATATTTGCCACAATCTCTCTAGGTCTGATGATAATAAAATAGGTGAAAAAAGGCTGTGTGTTAAAGGCAACATTTAAAAGTTCTGGTGTGTTCCTTCCTTGTCCCTCCAGAGATATTCTCCATGTTCCTGATGTTATCCTTGGAAAGGCTTTGGTTTTATTTTTAATTATTGGAATATTGGGGCTTTTAAAAAAAAAAAGAGTGTGCAGATTTTTTTTTAAAAAGTGTGCAATCAAAATAATTGTGTAGCTCTTCGTTGAAAACAGGCACCATCTTGGAATGAAATAATGCAATCAAATAACTGTCGAATACAGAATTCTGGTTTTGAGTGGCTCACAAACATAAGTAGCTGTTTTAACTTTTCTGCAGTGCCCTGGGATGGAAAATGCCTCTGTCTACAATAGCTTCCAGTCATTCAAAGAGAAATTCAGTTTTCCAACAGCAGAATGAAAAGGATGTTTACAAACCTCTATATAGTGTCTTCCGCAATCGCTGTGTTTGCCTCTTTTCATGAGGTCTAGCGTGTTGTTCAAGCAGAAAGTTAGATTTTGCTTTGGAAATTGGAAAAAGGGAGTCCAAAATACCAGATGGAAGAATATTCCTAAAATGTATTTCTTTCTTTTATTAAATTAGATTGGTAAGGCTGAGAGAATGGGATCGGAGGTTACCCCTTGCTCAGAGAGAATTAAATTTATAAAAAAAACTTTGAAGAGTTAAATTAACATTTTTTAAAAATCAGCTTCCCAGGAGCCGCAATGTGGTATCATCCTGTCTTTGGCATAACAGAGGCTGTTGCCTAGCACAAAGTTTCTCAATCTTAGCAACTTTGAGTGGACTTCAACTCCCAGAATTCCCCAGCCAGCCTGGCTGGCTGGGGAATTCTGGGAG